GTCACCTCCTGAGACTATTCACCAAAGAGAACATAGAACAAATATAACAAGCGTATACATCATTGTGTACCAACCAACTTACAAAATATAATTAAAAAGTTTGTAAGCTTATTCAAAGTACAAGATGTGCTGGAGATGGTAAGACTTCTAGTCAAGTTTAGTTCCTTTGTTGCAAAATTGGCTTGAATATAATTGAATTAAAACAAAGAACTTTTTGCCTCTGTATTCACCTGGAATTAGAACTATGACTGAGAAATTGCAGTCCTATGGAAATATGAAATCATTGTTGAAAGGAAAGTCAGATTTGAAGCAACTGTTGAGGGAATTGTAATCAGATTACTGTAGTTTAGAAAATACATTCCTATTAATTATAAACTGCTGCTTGATTTTGCATAAAACAGAAACTGATGTTTTTGCATAAAACAGAAACTGATTTGCCAAAGGTAAATCCATTCAAATGAATTTTCATTCATTCATTTGTCGTTGGTAGCTGAGATACCACTTAAGCCCTACCTTAAGCCCTTTGAGTCCTCCAAGAGCTCAATACAATTGTGATGACCCGGGGCATGGCACAAAGGCAATACAGTCAAATAATAAGTAGGAGTCCCTTTATTAGCTCCAACTCTGCCCCCAATGTCCTGGTTACCTTCTGGTCTGGAGAAAAACTCTCCCATGAACAGCCTTTGGCTGCAGAGATTCAAGTCCCAAACATTGTCAACAAAAACTTTAACTATAAGTCCAATTCAAGGCAAGATGAGGTAATTAATCTGGCAGGGCAACAGAAGGAATTCCAGACATGAAGGAACAGCAGTAAATCAACCCAGTTCAGAGGATTCCAGGAATGCAGATAACCACAGTCAATACAAGGTAAACTCACATTTGTTCCCAGAAAACGCTGCTCTCAGCTTGCATCTCTTTTAAACTCTCTTCCCAGGTGTGTCTAATGAAGGGAATCGGGACCCTTTCCTCTCCCCTAAGCCATGCAACCCATGTTGCTCTCTTCTCCATTCCTCCCTATGTGTCCTACGATAAAGAGGGGTGGGCCTGGGTCTTCCTCTGAATTCCCTCTCCCTTGTTCTACCTCTTCCCTGCTCTGCCCAGCTGGACTTTGCCCTTCCACAGTTTCCTCCACAGCCAACGGAGCCACACTCCCGCTCCCTGTCAGCTGTTCGTCTTCCTCCTTGGATTCAGACTCTGACAGGGGCATGACAGCAACTATATCATGCTATTCCAGGTTTTAGCCTCAAAAGAATTTTGTGTTATATCACAAATGCTAATAGCAGCATGATCAATTTTTAAAAAAGAATTTCAAATGTGAATATGAACACAGAAGCACCATTAACGTTAACTGTATAAACAGCATAACATTAAAAATAGAAGAAGAAAAAAACATCTGGTAATTTGTACCTAGTAAAATAATTCAAGGACATGGGATCAGATGGCTATTTTTAGGACCTTTAACAAATATGAATTTCCAAATAACAGAATCATCAAATTCAGGAAGTCAGAAAGACATGAGTCAAGTGTCTCTGGAATAAGTTAAAACCAAACTCATAGTTGGCTCTGAAGAATTTTAGAAGTCAATGGACTTAGAACACAGATCATCAGAGATGGAAGAGACCTTGGAGGCCTTCTAGTCCAACCCCCTGCTCCAGCAGAAAACTCTATACCATTCTGGGTCAATGGCTGTCCAATTCTTCTTAAAAAACCTCCAGTGACGAACCCACAACTTTTGAAGGGAAACGGTTCCACTAGTTGATTGTTCTCTCTGTCAGGAAATTTCTCCTTACTTCTAGGTTGCTTCTTTCCTTGATTAGTTTCCATCTATTGCTTCTTGTCCTGCCTTCTGCTTCTTTGGAAAATAAGTTGACCCCCTTTTGTTTATGGCAGCCCCTCAAATATTGGAACACTGCCTATTATGTCACCCCCTAGGCCTTCTTTTCACTAGACTAGACGTACAGTACCCAATTCCTGTAACCGTTCATACTAAGCATGGTTTTTGATAAGGCAATCAAAGTGTTTCATCTGAAAAATAATAAAGTCACTCTATTCTATACTGTGCAGAAGACTTTTCTCCTCCTACACTGAGGAACATATTTCATTCTACAGAAGATGGACCATCATCATATCCCATATAAGACTGTGCCATCATTGTTTTTTTACAGCCATCCACTGCTGTGCTACCTTGTCTATGTCTTGTGTTTTCTGTTTGCTTCTAGTATATTTTCAACTTTAAAAATAGCAGACTGGAAGGAAGCGTTCTCTGTTTCATTGAAAAACTTCTGATAGTACTCTTTGAATAATTCAATTACAACCTACCAGTTCTTGTGGTTTCTACTCTGCAGTGTCTTCATTGTGGTGAAATAATGTCATAGAGAACATATCAAAACTTAGCTTTGTTATGGTATATTTCTTATTCCTTGGTTGTGTGGGGTTGACCAGTTAAAAGCTAGGTGTTATGATAATTAGCTAAGAAATAAAATGTATGTTTAGTATTAGGGACCACTTCTTCCCAATTACATCTACCCAGGGGTGGGATTCAAATTTTTAACAACCGGTTCTGTGGGCATGGCTTAGGTGGGGGGCGTGGCTTGGTGGTCATGTTATTGGCTGGGTGTGGCCAATTCAATATCACTCACATTGAAGCATGCATCTCCTCGCCTGGCCTCTCATGACTGTGGGGATGCTGCAACAGCCGTAAGTGTGAAAAATGGTCATAAGTCACTTTTTTCAGTGCCATTATAACTTTGAATGGTCATTTCACACAAGCAAAGTAGCAGCAACAGAAGGGGAAAACACTCCAGAGAAGTTCCTGAGACAGGAAGTCTAGTCCTGCCAAGAATGTAATAAGAGTTAATGGAGAGGCAGTTTCTGTAAGCAACACCAGAATGTTTCCTTCCTGCCTTCCTTATAGGATTAGGCCAGTAATTTCTTCTAACAACCAGTTCTCCGAACTGCTTAGAATGTTAACAATTGGTTCTAGCAAATAGGTGCGAACTTGTAGAATCCCACCCCTGCATCTACCCTCCCCATCAGGCTGAACAGGAGAAATATGCTATGTTTATTGTCAAATAGACCTCTATTTGACAAGACCTAGGAAGTGAGCCTTTTCTGTGGTGGCCCCTGACCTCTGAAACAGCATCTCTTTGGAGACAAGGTTATGCCCAATTACGATGACATGCTGGAAAATCTTTCAAATGATTTTGTTTTCCTCCAGGAGGTCTGGAGAACCCCTGATAAAAGGGAGCCCATGTGTTGGCTGCATTGTACACAATATGTTCCCTCTCGTGGTCTTGTTTACATGGGTTTATTGTTTGTAATTGGTTCTGTAGAATATTTTATTTGTAGGTTTTATTGGACACCACTTTGTGTGAAATGGATGGCCAAATAAATGTGTCAAACAAGCAAGCAAATAGTAGTCTAATTATAAATCCATAATGCTATGTGAAGTCACATATGGCATATATCCTGGATAAGCCAGAACAATTCTACGTTTCAACAGGTCTTCTTGTACAAAGATCATCTTCAAATTACTAAGACTGTGGAGATAATAGCTGCCAGTCAGGACATAAGATGGGAAGCGGGATTCAAAAAAATCCATGTCGCATCTTAAACAGCACTTTTTTTTTTTTTTGAAGAGACCAATTTCTTTTATAAAATGTAACTCTGTGCTGAAATGCTATATATGGGAACATGGCTATTCCTTTTCATTTTAGTTTATAATGTCTACAGTAGGGAAAATGTTTGGGGGAGATTGACTAGTCTCAAAGATTGCGTGAATAAAGCTCTAATAAATCAGAACAACATATTCACATTAAAAAGCAGACATGTGTATACAAGTAATTAAAATTTTATTTAACAGGATTATGCTATGAACACAAGGTATGAAATACAATAAGTAGTTTCTCTTTAAAGCAGTACATCAACCAAACTGTTCCTCTATAATTTAATTACATAGGGGTTGTTTATTAAATAAACAAAGAAATATTTTTGCATTTATGTTCTAACCTTTCTTAAATAAATTATTTAGACATTTTTGTTTTATCTTCTTAAGACCTTGGTGACTTTTTAGGAAATCATGTTCCATGCAATAACAATTCTTTAAAATGGCACACTTCACTGTTCCTACTTTTTTTAAAGATCTGTTATTTTTTACAAACTCCTCCTAAGAAAGAATATACTCAGTTACCTCTTTACTTGCATCAGATCAGAATCACAGAACGGTTTTCCTTAGTCAGACCAGAATTGAAGTTGCTGGGGTGAGGGATGAGGGAGATATTAAACTACTGAGGTGACTTCAACAACTCCTACAATATGCTATCATTGTTGCTGCATTATTTATATGTATACATGAAATGCATATAGACGCACAGAGAGAGAGAGAGAGAGAGAGAGAGAGAGAGAGAGAGAATATAAACATTATCACAAATAAATAGAAGCAAAGGAAAGAAGGAAGAAAAAATTGAAAAGAAAAAGTGCAAAAAAAGAGAAGCAAAAGAAATAGAGGCTTCCAATTTCTTCTGCCACAAATATAAGTGCAACTGCGATATTAATTATAATTACAAAAAAATCTGACTTATTTCTATTATCCAGCTTTTTCCAATCATCAAAATCACAAATCATGAGTGCAATTTTTTCTGTTTTATGCAAAAGGTCTAAGAGAGGTTTCGAGGCACTTATATTGTTTTTCCACTAATCAGAGATTAATTTAGCCAACTTCCACCATCTTCACCAGCCATTCTTCCCTTGTGGGTAGTGTCAACCCTTCCACCTTTGAGCTTGTAACAGTATTGCTGCAGTTATCATACATTAAAAAAAATTCCATGACTGTTTTGGTTGCATTCAGTTCAATTCTTTAGTGATTTCATACTCATCAGCCTTAGGTATCATGGACAAAGAGGGGCAGAGGTGACATAGGATAATGTTTAGAAAATGACACTACATAAAATCCTCTCTTGAATGACAAAACCTCACAATAAGGCTTGCTTATGGAAGATCTATCAACCTGGTTCCTCTACTTTCTTCCCAGCCAGTCTGCAGAAGGCTCCCTTCACATCCCTGTTCCTCAGGCTATAAATGATGGGGTTTAACATGGGGATCACAAGACTATAAAAAACTGCCACTACTTTTTCCCTATTGGAGAATGTCTTGGCCTGAGGCCTCAAATACATGGCCAGGAGGGTGCCATAATAAATGCTCACTACAGTGAGATGAGATCCACAGGTGGACAAGGCTTTGCTCCGACCTTGTGTTGAATGGATATGCAAAACAGTGCATCCTATACGGCCATACGTGACCACGATAAAGAAGAAGGGTAATGCTAGGGTGAAGACACTGGTAATTATCAGGGTAATTCCATTAGCATGGGTGTCAGAGCAAGTTACTTTCAACACTGCCTGCAGTTCACACTTGAAATGATTCACCACGTTTGGCCCACACAAAGTTGCCTGCATGGTGAAAAAGGGTATAATAGTCAAAAGGAAGCCACTGACCCACACACTCGCAGACAACTGGATGCATAAATTGCGACTCATGATCAGGTTGTAGCTCAGAGGATAGCATATTGCCACAAAGCGGTCGTAAGCCATCACAGCTAACAAAAGACACTCCACAACACCTAAAAGGAGAGCACTAGACATCTGAGCAAAACATCTGCCCAGTGGGATAGTAGGCCTGTCCATGAAGCAGTGGACCAGCATCTGTGGGACAGAGGTGGTGATATAGCTGATGTCAATAAAGGAGAGGTTGCTAAGGAAAAAATACATGGGTGTGTGGAGGTGGGAGTCTACGATAATCAGCATCAATATGAGGCCATTGCCGGCTACAGCAATGAGATAGATAACCAAGAAGAGGACAAACAATCCAGCACGAACTCTGAAGTTTGTAGAGAGCCCAAGAAGCACAAATTCGGTCACTGTGGTCCCATTTCCCCATTTTTCCGTTTCCTGTAAAAGTAAAATCAGTTTTCAGAACATGATAAAATTATTGTAAGCTGTTTTGGACTGCTGATTAAATGATGAACACAAATATGGGTTATAAGAATGGAAGAGCTGCTTTTATGAGATGAATCTCTGGGAAGATACGATTCAGAGAAAAATATGATAAGGAGGGAAAAAATAAAATATGCAAGCCTTCTACATATTTTCTCCCCCCATTCAAATCTTTCTGGAATATTTTTTCTTATTCTTTTTAAAACAGAAGCCCATGCTTTTTTTTCTATTTCACACCACTTTGTCTTTTGTATTTAAGAAGACCCCCAGATAATTGGAAGAAGGCAAAATGGTATCAAGCAACTATCGTCCATGGGAGGGCAAGCTGAGATTTCCCTAAAGTTTTAGTAATGTCACCAGAGCTCTTTACATTTTGCTTCTAAAACCATATTTTTCAATGCTGTGTGATAAAAGTTTCAAATAATTTAAAACATAGCAAAGAACTATGGTTCTTAGTGCAATTTAAATGAAATAGACAAATCCATTTTAATTCTTTCCTTTAATTTATTCATTTGTCTTATTTACACTGATTCATTCATATACTATTTCATTGTAGGATATATGGACCTCTAAGAAACCTCCATAAGTAGCATTTTTTCACCTCGTTGAATTTTACAGTACAATCACAAATAAAATCTCTTTTTCACATACCTTTTTTTCAAGATTTAATGGATTTTTAAAACGTCTTACGTGCCCCTTAAAATTAATCTTGTTGAACAATAGGTAGTTTCTTATTTTAGTATTTTCCTTTTTTTATCCTGATAACCTAAAATGCCCTAAAGGCAGTCTTACAAAACAAATATTAATAAAGCAAATACAATGGAAGTATTAATATAATACTAATATACTACTAAGACAACAACACTTTGGGGATCAATTTTGAATGATAAAATCCTGGGGAGATGGAGCACAAAAATCATTTTACAATTTTTTTATCTTTAATATTAGCAGTTTTCTTGCTATATATTTTTAAATGTTTATTTATATATATGTATGATTATTATATAAATAAATCTCAACTCTGAAAATTCATAATGAATACCTGTGAACATACCACAAATGTTGAAAAAAGTAAACACCAAAAAAGAAATGCTCTTAATATCCGCTTCATTACTCCTATAGGATTCATATGATTATTATTTTTTAAAATTTTCAGCATACATTACTACCTTTCAGAAAGTCCTTCCAGCATGATATAATATATCCTGAAAATGATTGGTTTTTGTACAGATTTGGTCTACTAACTGTTATCTACTGATATCATCTGGGAAAAGATCAGTTCACTATAGCAACTTAACACTTCAAATAAAAGTTGTCACTTTCTTCCTCAAACATTTATACTGTCTCTGGAGATATGATATGACGTTATATCAGAAGATGTGAACTGCCTTTGGGGATTTGGATGGTTCATCTTCAGAGATTCTTCAGAGATTCTTCACCAAAGAGAGCAGAGAGCAAACTTTACAAGCATATACACCAACAATTTGTATCTGCAGGGTTATTCAATGTATGAGTTATCCTTCCTGGAATAATGGATTGAAGATAATGGTGTAACAGTCAAAGCCACCTTGAGGGTACCAAATTGGTGAAAGCTAAAAAGTACAAGATACCGATATCAAACATAGAGGATTGTGGCATCACATCAAAACATTGCTTTTGCCTGTTGTATTTGCCTTGAATATAAATCGTATGATTTATCCTCCAAACTCTTTATCCCCTTTGTTTCTTTTCTTTGCATTCTTGCTAAGGCCCAAGTATCTTTTTTGTGTCATGATGACCAGAACTGGATGCAGTATTCCAAGTGTGGCCTCTTTAGTGCAGAATAGAGTGGTACTATCACTTCCCATGATCTTGATGCTGCCCTTCTGTTGATGCAGCCTAGGACTGCATTGGCTTTTTTGGTAGCTGCAGCACACTGCTGACTCATATTTAAGAGGTGGTCCACCAGGAGTCCTATATCCCCCTCATAGGCACTATATTAAGCCAGGTACTGCCTATTCTACGCCTGTGCATTTGGTTTTTCTTGCCTAATTCTTACCTTACTTTTCCCACCACTAAACTGCATCTTGTTGGATAGGACCCATTCCTCATGTCTGCCATGATCCTTCTGAATCTTGAGTTTACCTTCCAAAGTGTTAGAAATTCTCCTTCACATGCTGTCATCTGCAAATATGGTGAGTGGCCCTTCAATCCCCTCATCCCTCCATCATTTATGAAGATGTTGGAGAATCCTGAGCCCAAGACAGAACCTTGAGGTACCACACTGAACCAGAATAATCAGCAAGTAAGAAGACAAATAATATAGCCTGTACTTCAAATCAACTGAACAGATTCATAAGCTCAATTTAGTTATGTTGTTTGTGTTATCTGACTCTTCTATCTTATGTTATTTTAAATAATAGAAAATCATATTAATGTTATGTTCTATCTTAGTTCTCATTTGTTCAAAGTTGCCCAAAGAATTTTGTTTGGAGTGTAAGGTTGGGGGGGTGGGTAACACATGAATGGTAAAACAAGTAATTCATATTAACACTTTCTCCATTAAGAATCAAAATAGTATTTTTCTGAAATGTTGGTACAATTACAAATAAAAAGAACAAAATGTACCAAAATGCCGATATCAGTAGAGTATGTGCTTAGTTCTTTAATAGCATTATAGTTCACTTGAAGGAGGAGTACCTCAAAATAGAAAATAAGACTTATTAGATTTTTAGAAATATTTTGTCCCACAGGGTAAAGAATAGATTTTATGGAAACATTTAAATTAATAAGTATATAGAAACTTATAACTTCATGCAAGAATACCATGTTGTTGCTTTGATTCCATTGAGACAATATCCCATGATTATAATTAGTTGAAGCAAAACAACATTCCTCATGCTAACTTCTATAGAACTTATTTGTTTATTTATTGTCAAAAGCTTACAATATAACAGAAACAAGAATAAAGATAAGTTTAAATACAAGAAAGAGGAACTCTTAGGAATGGGGTGAGGTCAATAGAGGTTAGTTTGGGGGTAAAAGACTGGGGGTTTGAGCAGGTGACAACAGAATCAGGTAGTGAGTTCCAGACATTGACCACTCTGTTGCTGAAATCATACTTCCTGAAATAGAATTTGGAGTGGTTTACATTTAGTTTATATCTGTTGTGTGCTCTTGTGGTGTTGTTGTTAAAGCTGAAATATTCATTAACTGGTAAGACGTTGTAACATTGTCAATCCCAAAATTGACATAAGTATAGCCATTTTAGTTAGTCTTAGTATATATTCTTTTTCTTACTTTCTCTGTGGCAGTCATGGAGGGAAGGGTTTTGGGCTTGCCACATTCCTAAGGGGGGAGGAGTGGAGATAAAGAGAGTGTTTTGGATGGGTGATCTTTCTTCCCATGGGAAACAAGCTGTCCTTGCTTGGGCCCTAGAGGTGGAGATTTATGACATCAAGCAACGTTGAATTACTTCTATTGGAGAATGTGACTTTTGGGGGTTGTTTCTAATTTGTAATATTGTGGGGTAATTCTGGATTGGGTCAGATCCGGAATTACCATGGACTTTGCCAATTTGATGGCAATTTCTTTAATTTCCTAAATAAAAGAAATCTTTTTTGAAGATGGACTTTGTACTTTTCTTTTTAAATGGATTTCATCACTTGGAATCCTGACATTATTCCGGATCTCACAAAAACCATAATCCCGGATGTTGTAGAGCGACAGAATAACCTGAGGCGAACACGGAATGAACTTCAGCTTTTACTTTATTGAAACAATAAAGGGTTGCTGCGGCGGACAACAGCTGATGCCGTTTGACAGCTCCCTTTTATAGCCGGCTGTCAAATGGCATCAGTCAATAGGAACGGTCTGTGTTCCCGCTGGAAACACGGACCGGAGTGAAGACTTCAGCTCAGTCTTTTCCGAACGCCACACTCCTTTCCCCCAGAATGGAGCATGTGTGGTCCTTCAGATAACTCGGGCGCTTGCGCAGGCGGCCAGATCTTCTAGGTTCTGACGGAGCTGCTGCTGGAAGGAACTTTTCTGTTTGTTGGGCAACTTCTGGTGCTGATGAAACTGGCGTCTCAGCTTCAGGCGTCTCTGGGTGAGGGACAGATGGCTGCTCAGGTAGGCTTGCGTTCCTGTCAGATTCGCGGGAAGTTTCTTCAGGTGCCGGCGGTTTCACTGTCGCAGGAACGTCTTGAGGGCCATCTGCAAACGAACTCCAACGCCTTCTAAGTTGATCGATATGGCAGCGCCAAATGTGCCCGTCTTGCAGTTGGACCCTCTAAGACTTAGGACTGGTTACCGCCACAATCTGCCCAGGCATCCATAAAGGGTGTCCTGCATAATTCCGGGCATAAACCTGGTCATTTTCAGTGAACTCCCTTGCCTGGCTATTTGATCCTAGGGGTGTGACTGGGGCATAATATGGATGGAGTCTGTCTAAAGTAGTCCTCAGACATCTACCCATGAGAAGTTCAGCTGGGGACCTATTAGTGGTGGCACAGGGAGTCGTGTGCTAGGTTAGAAGATACTTAGCAAGCCTAGAGTGCCAATCTATTGGCCCAAGCCTTTCCAGGACCTCTTTAGCAGATCTGATTGCTCTTTCAGCCAGGCCATTACTGGCAGGATGGAAAGGCGCTGTAAGTGCATGCCTGATTCCCAGGTTAGCTAGGAAGACCTCAAACTCACAGGAAGTAAACTGGGGCTCGTTATCAGACATGATGGTGTCAGGAAGGCCATGGGTAGTGAATATCCTTGATAGAGCCTTAGTGATGGCTTCTGAAGTTGTGGTGGTCATCAAGGTCAGCTCTACCCATTTAGAAAAAGAATCAACCATCACCAAGAATTTACGCCCATGAAAGGGGCCAGCCAGATCAATATGTACCCGGGACAAAGGGGTCCCAGAATCTTCCCACCTGCCTGGAGTGGATGTGAGTGGAGCAGGTCTGGTAACTTGGCATGGCTGACAAGCATTCACCTAACTTGTAATCTGAGCATCCATGCCCGGCCACCATACATAACTGCGAGCTAGGGCTTTCATTCTGACAATGCCAGGATGCCCTTTATGCAGGACCTTTAAAACTGAAGCTTGCAACTTGGAAGAGATAACTACCCTAGTTCCCCAAAGTAAACAACCTTGCTAAGAAGACAGTTCTTGCTGGCGAGTTTTGAATGGCATGAATTCGGGGGCATAAGGAATTGCAGGCCACTCCCTTCCCACCCAGTCAAGGACTTGGGCGATTACCTTGTCCCTGCAGAGAGGGCAGCGATATTAAGGGTGGTGATGGGAAGTTTGAGATCATTGATCAGGAACACAGTGTTAGTTGGTGCAGGATCCTTCACAGGAACAGGCAGGGGGTAGCGACTAAGAGCATCAGCATGGCAGAGACTCTTGCCAGCTCGATGAACCAATGTGTAGGAATAGGCAGCCAGAAATAAAGTCCACCTGGTCATCCTTGGAGACAAAATCTGAGGAGTTTGTCTATCGCCTGACAGAGGCTTGTGATCCGTAACCAACTCGAAATAGTGTCCATATAGAAACTCATGGAATTTTTTGACAGAAGCAACTGCAGCCAAAGCCTCCTTGTCAATTTGGCTGTAGTTGCGCTCAGCTGGGGAAAAAGTTCTGGAGAAAAAGGTAATGGGTGCCTCAGAACCATTAGGCAGTCTATGACTTAAAACAGCACTTATGCCAAAAGGAGAAGCATCTGCTACTAAAACTAAAGGTAAATGCTCATTAAATTGGATCAGAACAGCATCGGATGTAAGCAATGATTTGACTGCATGGAAAGCATGGGCTTCCTTAGGTCCCCAGTGCCAGGGGGATTGCTTATCCAAGAGTCTGTGCAGAGGCTCTGCAACAGAAGCTTTATGTGGCAAAAATGAAGCGTATAAGTTAAGAAGTCCTAAAAAGGCCTGGAGCTCAGTTTTGTTAGTTGGTGTGGGTGCCTCATGAATAGCCCTTACTTTGGATTCGATTGGGTGAATACCAGAGGTGTCAATTCTGTAACCCAAAAATTCTACTTGTGGGGTGGCAATAGTGCACTTCTCTTTCTTTAACTTAAGACCATGCTTCCTAAAATGATCGAGGACTCCTCTGACTCTTTGCAGTAATTGAGACTTGTCAGGGGCAGATATTAAAATGTCATCAAAATATGGAATTATACCTGGTAATCCTTGAAGTAGTCTTTCCATTAAACATTGGAAAATCCCTGGGGCCACACTTACACCAAATTGGAGGCGCCTCCATTTAAAAGCGCCCCTGTGTGTTACAATAGTTTGTAGTTGAACGGCTGTGTCATCAACAGGGAACTGTTGATAGGCCTGTGACATGTCTAATTTTGCGAAAATGGTTCCTGGCTCAAAAGAATGTAGTAGGTGCTGGATAATTGGGACTGGATAAGTGCTAAATATTTATTCAATGACGTCTTGTAATCTGCATAGATTCTTACACTACCGTCTTTCTTCAGGGGTGTCATTATTGGGGTTTCCCATTTTGCGAAGTCCACAGGCTCTAATATACTCTGTTTAATTAATTTGTCTAGTTCCATGTCCAGTTTGGGGTGGATTGCAAAAGGTACCCTTCGAGGCTTTAAACGGATTGGGACTGCCAGAGTGTCCAAGTTGAAAGACATTGGGGTTCTTGAATAACAGCCCAGCCCCTCGCTGATCACATCAGCATAGTCATTAAACAAGGTGTCCACTTCAGCATTTGCAATAGAATGGATTCTGCTTATATGGAGGCCAAGGGCAGGGAACCAGTCTAACCCCAACAGGCTTGGGAGGGCACCATCCACTACCACTAAAGGCAAGTGACCTTTAAAATTTTGAAATTGAACAAAAAACTTGCCTTTTCCAATGACTGGGATGGTTCTGCCTTGGTAGTCACGTAGGGTTAAGTTGCAGCCTTGAAAGCCTCTTCTTATTCATTCTGGGAAGCAGTTGTTTCAAGGTGCTCCATGAGATGATGGACAGCGCTGAGCCAGTGTCTACTTCCATCCTGCAAGGTTTCCCTTCTATAGAAACAAAAAAAACCTGATTTTGTTAGAGCCTTTGTTAGTCAGCTTGGCTTGATAGCAGGTAAAACAGTCTTCAACTTGTTTTTGGAATTGTTGGGTTCTCTGAGGCTTTTGGGCAAAAGTCTTTCCTGCTTGACAGATCCTGTCTAAATGACCCTTCCTTTGGCATTTTAGACAAATGGCATTCCTAAACTTGCAGGATGCCCTGAGGTGGTTTCCCCCACAGCTTAGACAAATGGGCTGAGGCCATGGAGGTTGATTGGGGGTTGGCCTGTTCTCCCTTTGACTGGTTTTTTTGCTGCCTGAGGTGATTTACATCATTAGCCTCTTCATAGCCTTCTTCTGTGGAGGCTTCATCATAATGGATGGCTGAGCTGCTCTGGCTAATTGGATTTCCCTTAATTTCTGCTGCTGAAAGTGCTGATAGTTCAGCAGCTTGAGACTCTTCAATTGCTAATTTAAGGGTTAAATCCCCTTTAGCCAATAGGCGCCTTTGTAGCCTTAAATCCCTGACTCCACAAACTAGTTGGTCTTATAACATGTCCTCCAGATAGTCTCTAAACCCACAGTGCAAGGCAGCTCTTCGTAGGGCAGCCATGTACCCACTAATAGTCTCTCCCTCAGCCTGAATCCATCTCCTAAAAGCATGATGCCTGGCAATTCGGGATGGCTTAGGGGAATAGTGGTTGGAAAGAATTTCCTGCAATTCTTCCCATGGAACAGTCTTAATTGAACATGGAGCCAATAATGCCATAGCAGTGTCAAACACTGTGACTCCGCAAAAACTTAAAAAGTAGGACTTTTTCCTATGGTCGGAAATGTCAGCGAGGACGATCTACCATTGCAGGAGACCTTCCACCAGCATATTGTTCACCTCTGAGAGTGGAACGTAGAGGGGTGAGTTGGAGGGGGAGTTCACAAAGAATCCATTGAGGAACAAGCCCTCCTCCCCCACCTCGTTTACCTCCAGCTGACCAAATCCCTCCAGGATGGGCATTTTATCCAGGCAGAGGATGGGTTTGGGAACAAGCTCAAATGAGGCCAGCCCAGGCTGCAGTCCCACCTCCCCTGCACCTCCCCCACCACAACCAGCTCTGCGAGCAAATGCCTGAACACTTTTTAAAACCATGTTTGATGGACTGCAAGTAAACTTACATTTTTCCTGAATAGAGAGAGGTCTTACATTGAGAGACATGGAAATGAATTCCACGATGAGGCAGAACTAGTCCAATTCCTTGGAGACAACTTGGAGAAAGAGACATCTGAATGGTTCACCCAGCTGAAGGAATCTATGAGTGGTACAGGATGGCCATAAGAATGGACAATGCCCTCAGACAGCACAGGAAGAGCAATGCTGAGAAACAACCAAAAAAGCAATTCATACAACGCTCATTTCCACGCCAAGGGGAAGGACGTCAAACAACAGCCCCCCCCCAACCTCCATGAAATGTTTCTGTTGTGAAATGTTTCCGTTGCAAGGGCATCAAGCATCAGAATGCTTAGCACCAGCCCCAGTACCTCAAGGGAGAGCACCCGCTCCCCCAAATGGAAAAAGGCACCTAGAAAACCTCCTGAAAAAAGCAAATTTGTGTGCCAAGCCATTGAGGTCCCCAACCCCCAACAAACAGCAGGGGAGGGAACTCTGGCAGCAGGAGTACCCAGTGTGCAAGATGCAGACAGTGAAGAAGACGACCCAATGGTAAGTGGAGCCATTCTACCTTTTAAAATTGAAGGGACATTAACTGTTTGAAGAGACATTAACAGGCTTTGAAAGGCCCATAGACACTATCATTGACACTGGTAGTTCACAGTGCCTTATCAGTCCCGAGACTGTGTGTAGTTTAAGGATAGAAACTAAAATGTTAACTACCCCCATTTGATTCCAACAAGTAGATGGATCCATGATATATCTACACAAGTCAACGAAAAAGTAAAGCTAACCATAGGGGAACACTGGGAAATAATCAGGTTCATAGTAGTCCCAAAGATGACCCAATCAGTAATCCTGGGTCTTGTCTGGCTAGACAAATGGCAGCCAAATATAAGCTGGGAGGGTGGCTATAGGAGAATCAAATTAGCACTTGGTCGTGAGCCACCTCCCGAACAAGTTAACAGCCAAATTGTCAGCCCAGAAATACTGAAAAGCCAGGAGGATAGAACAGTATCATTGGCTGATCAACCCCCAGGGATGCCCAAAATCCCAATCCAATACCGTGATCTGGTGCAAGTCTTCAGTGAGGAAGAATGCAATGTGCTACCCCCCCCCCCATCACAACACTGACTGTGCCATAGAGTCTATAGAGGGGGCGAAATTACCAAAACCAAAAATGTACTCCATGACTCCTAAGGAAATGAAGGAGCTACGGAACTATATAGACACAAACCTAGCCAGATGTTTTACCCAACCTGCAAAATCCAGAGTAGCTGCTCCCGTACTCTTTAAAGTAAAAAAGATGGGGGGGGGGCGGTTTGCTTCTGGGTTGACTTAAAGTGCCTGAATGCCCAGAGTATTCACAACACATATCCCCTACTGCTCATGAAAGACATGTTAGGACACTTAGCAAAAGGCAAAGTGTTTACCAAATTAGATCTCCACAAAGTGTACTATAGAATCCACATCAGAGAAGGAGATGAATGGAAGACTGCTTTCAACACCCCTTGGGCAGTTTTCAGTTCAGAGCAATGCCATTTGGACTACAAGGAGCCCCAAGGGTCTTCATGCAGCTCAAGAATGAAGTTTTACATCAATATTTGTATAAAGGGGTTCTGGTCTACTTGGGTGACATTCTTATTTACAATGAAACTCTAGAAGAAGACATCAAGTTAGTGAGAAAAGTATTAAAAAGACTTTTAGATGCAAAGCTGTATGTAAAGTTATTCAAATGCGAATTCCATAAAGAATCATTGCATTATCTTGGCTATCACATTTCAAATCAGGGGATAGAAATGGATCCAGCTAAAGTGAAAGCTGTCCCCCCCCCCCAAATCGCAAAGAGCTGCAAAGCTTCTTGGGATTTATTAACTTGTACCGGCAATTTATCCCCTCATTTGCAGAGATTGCATTACCAATAACTGAACTATTGAAAACCGGGAGTGGGGGGGCAACCAAGACAAAACCTGGACAACCCTTAAAATGGACTCTAGAATGCCAAAAAGCTTTTGAATTGCTAAAAAGGCATTTCGTACAGGAACCCATTCTAAAACACCCTGACCCAGCATTGCCTTTTATAGTGCAAGCCAACGCTAGTGATGTAGCAGTGGCAGCAGTTCTTCTCCAGAAGAATGACAATGGAGATCTGCAACCCTGCGCATATACATCTGAAAACTCACAGACACTGAAAGAAGGTGGGCTGTATGCGAAAAAGAAGCTTATGCAGTCCGTTGGGCTTTACAAACTTGGAGACAATTTTCAGAGGGCAGTAACATTCCTTTCGAAGTATGGACAGACCATAAAAACTTAGAAGGTCTAAAAACACCTAGGAAACTGACTCCTAAACAAATTAGATGCGTTCAATACTTCAAAAGGTTCAATTTCCAATTGAAGTACCTCCCGGGGTGGGGGGAATATATTAGCAGACACGCTATCTAGAAAACCCCAATTTGATAGTAAGCAAGAAGTATTTCACCCAATCATTCCACCATCTTCTCAGGAAACAGTTCAAGTAATCACACGGGCACAAGCCCAAACCAAAAAAAATCAAAGACAAATCTGAAATCGCTAAGAAGTTGCAAAATGAATTAACAACAGATACTTGGTATCAAGAAAATAAGGATTCATTAACTAATCAGGAGGGTGTAGCATGGAAGGGCTCTAAACTATATGTCCCAAAAACTTTACATCTTCATGCACTTCAAAAAGTCATGACTCAAAACAAGCAGGATATTTTGGACATTTAAAAACTCTACACATGGTCAAATGCCAGTTTTGGTGGCCAAGAATGAAGCAAGACATTGAGGATTATGTAAAGAATTGTGCCACTTGTGCCACAAGGAAAACCAGACCTGGAAAACCTCCAGGATTATTACAATCTGTAGCAGAGCCATCCCAGCCCTGGGAGGAGATAGGGATGGATTTTATAGTAGATTTACCTGACAGTGGGAGGCACCCAGTAATTTGGACTGTAGTGGATTTGTTTTCCAAACAAGCTCATTTTATTCCATGCAAAGCTCTACCATCAGCCAGGAAATTATCCAAAATGTTTGTGAAGATGATTATGCAAGGAATCCAAGATCTTAAAACAAAATCAGATACTATTGAAAAGAGAATAGAGAATATTGAACAAAGAACAGAGAACATTGAACAAAGGACAGAGAAGACCGATGAAAAAATTGAAAACATTCAACAAATGATGGTGAAGTATGATGAGAGATTCCAAAAAATTGAAGAAGAAGATAAACAAAGAGATGAGAAGATTGGAAACATTGAGAGCAGATTAACAGTGGTTGAACAAGATAAAAGCGGGATGCTGAAGTGGGAGATGGACAGGTCAGAATTTTATCTCAGATTTCAAAATATAGAGGAAGAAAAAGGACAAAATCTAGCTGCGATAATGATAGGAATCTTGGCGGAAGCTTTGGAAATAACAGAGGAAAAGATGATGGATGGAGTAGATGAGATATATTGAGTTTTTACAAGATATACGATGAGAAACGACCTACCAAGAGAGGTCCACAACAGATTTACAAAAAAAGCCATTAAAACACAAATATTACAAGTGGCAAGAGAGAAGATGTTGAAATATAAAGGCAAAGAGATTGTGGTTTTAAAACAAATACCTAGAAGAGTGAGAGAGATGAGAAGAGAATATCGATTCCTGACCAAAATGCTACTGAAAAAGGAGGTGAATTATAGATGGCTGATTCCAGAAGGACTAATGCTTACATGGCAAGAACAGAGACATAGAATTGATTCAATTGAGAAAGCAGAACTATTTTATGCTGAATTTTTTGGAAGGAGAGAGGCAGAGGCAGAAAAAGAGATCCCACCAATTGAATCCCAAGAGGACCAAATGGGGACCGAAAAAGAAGAAGGCGCAGTAGGTGGACAAGTGGAGATTAAAGAACAACGTGAACTAAGATCTACGAGAGCTGCCAAACCTAATTACAAAATATAATCATGGAAGAGAAAAAATTGATTTCAATGAATATAAATGGACTTAACTCATCTGTTAAAAGAAGAAAAACCTTTCATAAATTAGAGAAATTAAAATTTGATATCATTTGTTTACAAGAAGTACATATTAAAAAACAATATGAACAACTGTTGATACAGCCAAAATTAGGGAAAATATTCACTTCCTTGACTCAATGTAAGAAAAGAGGAGTGGTTTTATACATAAAAGAGACTATCCCGGCAAAATTGATTCACACTGATGAAGACGGAAGAGTACTAATGGTGGAAATAATGGATAACAATACGAAAACACTCCTGATTGCAATATATGCTCCAAATGATAAACAAGAAGAATTTTACAAAAAATTACACATGAAAATAATTGGACTGGACTATATTAATATAGTTATGATGGGAGACTTCAATGGAATTGTAGACAATAAACTGGACTATGCAGCAACGACAACAAAGCAAAACAGAAAGACTCTCCCCAAATCCTTTTTCAAAATGATAGATGAATTAAATTTAAAAGATATATGGAGAGAAAGAAATGCTAAAACTAAACAATATACTTTTTATTCAAATAGATATTTATCATGGTCCAGATTAGATATGATTTGGATCTCAACAGAACTAATATCTAGCATTCAAGAAACAAACATTGAATTAAGTACTTGGGCAGACCACAATCCAATGACAATTAAATGGAAAGGACAAAAAAGAAGATCGAGATGGACGCTAAACAATACCATTTTAAAGGAAAAAGACTTTATACATTGGATGGAGAAAGAATTGGCCTTTTTCTTTAGAGAGAATAAAAAAGAAGATACTTCAATTCAGAATGTCTGGGATACAATGAAGGCGTACGCTAGAGGCTTGATAATTGACTATATAAGGAAAAAGAACATCAAGAAAAGGCAAACCATCAAAGTTTTAGAAGATGAGCATAAAAGACTTGAAAAAGAATTACAAAAAATGCCACAGAAAAAAGACATTAAACTAAAATTGGATATAAT